AACCGCCGCTTCTTCCCCATCTCCAAGGACCAGCCTCGGGTGAGCGGCTGGGGGAGAGCCGTCGGAGGGCCCGGAGCGGCAGGGGCTGGAGCTGGTTAGCCTTCCGTCTGCCGGGGGAGGCGTGCTCCGGGAGGACGCGTGTCCAACCTCCTTGCCCGAAATCGGGTGTATCTAGTGAGGAGAAGGGCAGGCAGACTGTCAGAGCCCGCCCGGGGGAGAGGCTGGCAGCCGTGGCCGTGCTGTCTAACTCGGGTTTGGGGGGCATGGGAGGGCTAAATGGGAGAAGCAGCGCTTGTGAGAAGCCTCACGCGGAGAGTCGACGCCCCCTGAGGAGGCTGCGAGGCCTTTCTGCGGAGACAAAAAAAGAAATCCTTAGGTGAAAGGGAGTATCACATACTTTTGCCTAAAAAAGGTGCAGACGGGTCTGATCCCAGAGGGACAGCTCTTTTGGGTCTCGGTGCAGTGCCCTTTTCCCTTCCAGGTTTCAATGACAGCCAGTGCCATCTGTCCGAAGGCGCAGCCTCTGTCTTGTTGTCTAGACCAGCTATTTTCAGCCTTTTTCATCTCACGGCACACATAAGCTAATTACAAAAATTCTGCGGCACCCCAAATATATATATATATGAACTGACCAAAAATAGGTATACTGGTAATGTTGATTCTTTAACACCGGATACCTGTCGTTGTGTTGGCTGTTGTCATTTTGTATTGGACAACCTAAGGGAAAAGTGGTCAGTGCCCCTGACTAACTAACTAGCCAGGTATTTGCATGTTTGAAGATTTCTTGTGGCACACCGGTTGGAAATCCCTGGTCTAGACACTGAGCTATGAGCTAGTCCTGGATACTGCTGGGTCACTCAGCCCTTCCTAGTTCAGAGAGAGGGAACTGCGTTCAGTTCAGGGAAAATCCTTGACTCCTCACTCCCAGCAAAAAACCTCATGGCGATGCATTTTGGACAGGTGATTGAGGTTGGCTAGCCCCCGACTCTTAGAAAGGGATCAAGGAAGGAAATTTTATGGGGAAAGGGCCTTAGCAGCGCTTAAGTTTCTGGAGATAAAATTGATTTCCAGTAGTCTCCTTTGTCAGAGGGGTCTCCTTATAAGAGCTCTGTATCTGATTGATGCTAAGCAAGTAGACTTTACGCTTACTATATCCAAATTGCAACACCTTACCAGTGGTTCTCAACCTTCCTAATGCCACGACCCTTTAATACAGTTCCTCATGTTGTGGTGACCCCCAACCATGAAATTGCTTTCGTTGCTACTTCATAACTGTAATGTTGCTACTGTTATGAATCGTAATGTAAATATCTGATATGCAGGATGTATTTTCAGGGGTCGCGACCCACAGGTTAAGAACCGCTGCTAGACAAATGCTTGGAGCATGCTATGAACATCAGAGGCAGAAGCCTGATTACTTTTAAGTTTGAAAGATAAAACAAAACTACAGCCTTTGGAAACACTGATATAGGAGTGAAAATTGTTGTTGTAATGGGGGAAAGAAAGGTACGTAGAGGGCCAGATTCAAGACTTCACATTTTTTTCATCTACCCTCCAGGCCCTCTTGCCGCTGGCCAACGTGGCATTAATTGACTACACTTTGGAATTTCTGACTGCCACAGGCGTACAGGAAACCTTTGTGTTTTGTTGTTGGAAAGCTGCTCAAATCAAGGAACATTTACTGTAAGGCCCTGCAACTTTTCTTTCCATGTTTCACCATTTTTGTCCAGTTTTCTAAGGATGAATATAAATAAATAAGGGGAAAATGTGCCTATGTCGAGGCCATCATAAGGTCTAAGGGTATTCTCTTCACTTATCAGAGGTGAGCAGTTGAAACTGTGACAAAGATTAAAGGCTAGCCTTTGGGTTTTTCCTGACTCTCTCATAAAGTTTGATCCCAGTGGGTTTTGCTTTTTATTGAATGGCTCCAATATGGAAGTTATAAGAGTAACATGTTTGTTTTTCCACTGAGTTTCTAAATATTGAGCTGTTCCTCATCTTTGTTCTTTTTTGTGTTTGTTTGTTTGTTTTGTTTTGGGGGGGTTGCTTTTTTGTTTTGTTTTGTTTTTTATTGCTGTGGTAAGCCACTAAATGTGGTGTTCCTCATCTTAGTATTCTCAGTGCTCAGTTTACTACCAAACACATAATAAGCACTTACAAATGTTTGGTGAAATCTTCTTGGAAAAGTAAATGTCAGGACTTATGGAAGCTTAGGAAATAAAGACTTGGATATTAGCTTAGTCTCCAATAGACAGTTCCTAAATTTGGTCTGGGTTTTGAAAGGAGAGAAGTGGCATGAAAAATGTGTTCCCAGAAAACTTTGTATATCCTAAGTCT